ATGCCATCATTAACCTCTTTCTAATATGGGCAGTTTATCTCACCACCTGATGCTGTTGTTAAAAGAGCAATGTGAAGTGGAGAGACGACTAATCAACCAAAAGCATCACTCGATGCTTATTCTGTACCTACATAGTGACAGAAACTAGGAATACATAAAAGTAGGTTAAAAACAGAAAAGCCCACGGAGCGCCTGGGTGGCTCAGTCGGTTAGGTGTCCAACTTTGGCTCAGGTCATGATCTCACGGTTCATGGGTTCGAGCCCCGCGTCGGGCTCTGTGCTGACAGCTAGCTCAGAGCCTGGAGGCTGCTTCGGATTCTGTGTCTCCCTCTCTCACTGACCCTCTCTCTCTCTCTCTCAGAAATAAATAAAACATTAAAAAAAAAAAAAAAGGAACAGCCTTGTTCTCTGAGAGCTTAGGACAGAGTATGGCAAATAGCTAGAGCTAAATATTAGGACAATAAATAATTGCCAGATTGTAACTATGGCTTCAAATAATAAAGGGTAATAGCTCATAATTGGGCAGAGAATGTAGGCTCTCAGATGCATTTTCCTTAAACATCTTACGTAGATAAAAAAGAGGTCACCATCCCAGATGAGGGAAGCACAAAAGCAAAAATACAGATGCACTGAGAGGTGGGGATAGTAAAGAGACCAAGCACTCCTCTAGTTGGCAATCATGAAATATCCATTTGGATCGATAAGATGAGGTCATCAAATTCATTTATTTTTTTTTTAGACTAACAAATATAACCTGAATTCCTACAGTACTCTGTCTAGGTGTCAAGAGCAATACACAAATGAATTCGGCAGATTTTCTCCCTAAGAAAGCAGCATTGAGCTCTATGTGTGGAGGAATATGGAACCACAATGCTTGAATAGCAGTAGCTTGGTATCATCAGATTGTTATAGTTTGAATGACAGGCTTTTAAAAGGTATAGGCTATATTTATAATGACTAAGGTGTCACAGTGTTCATATATATATAAGAGATCTTAGATTCTTCCTTTACAACTTCCCTCAGGTTATTTTGTCTTTTGGTTATTGTTTTGCATTTGATTTTTATCATCTCTGACCTACTATATTAGTTTATCAAATAGATGTCTTTTTCTTTAGTCTGTCCTATAAACTGTGGCCAAATTAATTTTCTTAGAATGCAGTTCTTTATCCAAGGGACTCTTCTCCTGCAAATATTTTTGACAGGATGGACCTTGAATGTCCTGGGCATGATTTCAAGGCCTCCTTATAGTTTGAGTCCAGCCAACTTTCTCTTCTTTTACTCCTCCACTGAACTCTCTTTTCTGATCAAGTAACTCATCTACTTTCATGGCAACATTTCCTATTCTAGGTCTTTTCACATAAAATGTTTCTATCTGGGTTGCAGACTTTCTCCCAATTGCCATTTATGTGAATTCTTTGTTTCCTTTAGCTTTTGCCTAAAGGCCCTTTTCTAAGCCTCATGCTAGAAATAATTTTTCTGTTCTCAGAATTCCACATTCTCCACCAGAGTTTATACTTGTGTAATTCCTTATATTGAAGTTGGTCTTTCATGTCTTATCTTTCCATTATGTTGTAATTTTTTTCCTGCTCCCTTAAGTTTGCAGAGTGGACAGAGTGTGCATAAGACACTGATGATATCCATTAGTAAATATCTACTGAATAAGACTACTGGATGAACGTACAGTCAATCAAGATACATGCTAGAATAATGTTAGTAACTAAGAAATATAGAATTGCCTCCTGGGTCATTTGGCTTCTGGCAGGCTGATGGGGCCAAATGTCTAGGAACTTGAAAAGGAAGAACTTAGAAAATGTTCCAGTTTCCAGCAATGCTGTTAACTTTTGAACCAATCAAAACGTTATTAAGTTATAGAGACAAATAAGACTTGAAAGGGTAAGATGTTTGTCAGCTACTGTCTGAGCCGAGTAAAAGGGAGTCCCAATGGCAGACTGGAACTGGTATAGCCTAACCAGTTCCAAGTGTTAAAGTTAAATTCATTGTACATTGTGTGTGTGGTTTGATTTTCCTACATTTCACTGAAAAGTTAATATTTGAGCAGAATAATCTGATTTATGATAATGTGCCCTCAATCTATGTGTCCAAGTGGACTGCATAATGAACTCAGCAATTTCCTCCTCCTTCCATGTAAGGGTAGTTTCCAGTATGATGAAGGAATTAATGTAGATGAGAGGTTTCGAGAAGCAAATATAATCAAGTTTTAGGCAAGGAATTAATCTCAAAGCCAAAGAGATTAAAATCATGACTCTAGTCATTCATAATAACCACTTACAATTTTAGATTTCCGGGCAGAATGAGCAGGAAAATGCCGTCATTCTTCAACCTCCAAACTATCTGTCCTCAGCAGACTTTGTAGCCAACATCTTTGATTATAAAAAACTATATCACCTTGGCTTTAATGCTTAAAATGTGAAACCATCAATCTGGATACATTTGAATTCTAACTTTCACCATCTGCATGACTTTAGGCAAAATTATAAATCTCTCTGGGTCTTGAGTTAACTCACAAGTAATGGGAATAATTAATAATACTTCACAGGTCAGCAGAATTAGCAGGAAGGGTGCCTGCATAGTGACCAAATCGCAAGTGGTCAAAAATAAATCTTTCTTCCACAGCCACTCATATAAACAAGGAAATTCAAAGAGACAGATGAAAGGATATCAAAGTACTAGCAAAAGTATGAACTTGTATTCTACTTTTTCTCATAGAATATGAGATATATATAATTCAATCTTGATTTTTTTTAAGATTGGGGGACAAAGTGTCCATATGTAGGGTGCACTTAACAACTAAAAGAGCTTAATGACCCTGAATACTAAGCTGACTAATGTAGACACTACTGTTAATATTTTAAAAATATTTTCTAAAAAAATAAAAATGTGTTGTAAATTAACATTTTTACCCTAAAACTCCTGAGTGTCTTTAAGGCTTTATTAAATACTGTATTTGGCCACTGCTGCCAGTGATGATAGTAGTGATAATCACGTAATCATGAGATTAATTTTAAAGCAGTTTTTCTTATAAATATGTGTATTTAATTTTTATTAACATTTTAAAAAATATTTATTTATTATTGAGAGACAGAGAGAAACAGAGCATGAGAATGGGAGGGGCAGAGAGACGGGAAGACACAGAATCTGAAGCAGGCTCCAGGCTCTGAGCTGTCAGCACAGAGCCCAACACGGGGCTCGAACTCATGGACCACGAGATCATGACCTGAGCCAAAGTCGGACGCTTAACTGACTAAGCCATCCAGGTGCCCCTCTTCTAAATAATTTTAAAACTAGCATAGGGGAGTGGAAACTAATTTGACAATAAACTATTTGTTAAAAAAAAAAAAAGTAGCATAGGGGATAATTATTTCAGCTAAATATCCACAATAAATAAATTTAAATTAACATATATTTGTATTATATAGAAATCATAAAAATTAAAAATTACCCTAAATGCCACTGCTCAGAAAAACTATGAGGCATTCATTGGTTATAAATTTTAAAGAGCACAGAAAAGCGTAAGGAGGGGGAAAAGACATCTCCATCCATCCTCCTTATTCTAAAGTTCCTTATCCCCAAAGTAACAATTATTCCTACTTGTCTCTCTAAAAATGTATTTCAGAAAGAGGTGGTATTATTTATTAATTAAATTCTTTTCTATTTCACAAGAGATACACTGAATATTCTTTCAATCCTAGTGGCAAACACAATCCATGCACTTCAATTTCATAGGTTTCCGAAGCTACAAAATTATGTCATGTCAGAAAGCATAGATGACACTTAGAATGAGAGAGGTAGAAAGGAAAGATTAGGGAGTCAGGAAACCACCTCACCTCCCCAAACCACTGATTTTACTCTGCCCTTGGGTAAAACTAGTCGTTATTTCTGAGAACCAGAGAAAAACTAGTACCATCATGTTGTCATTCATTTTAAGGATTGAAGCCCATCCTTAGGAGAAAAAATTACTCTTCACAAGAATCTATTTTTCCTTTATAGTTAACACAATTTGAAATATATTTCAGCAAATTATTTTCATTCAAGTGATCTTTTACGGATTTTTCCAAGTGGAGTTAAAAATATGTCTCCATGAAAAAGTCTCTCATTTCCATCCTTTTGTGTACACTCTTCAGTGTGCACATGATAGTCACCAAACTCGTGTGGTGCTTACCACAGTCTACCCAATATGACCTTGGCCTGTATGTGTTCAAATAGCATTTTCCAGTAGTTCCATGTGGATGATATAGTTACTAAACAATTGTAAACTAAACATTAGTCTCTGTTACTCAGTTTTGATTATGAACCTCCAGATGATTTCACGACAGACATTGCAAGTTTTCTCAATATTTTTTGGTTGACTTAAACTACACTGAAACTGCAAGTAGCAACTATCAAGCAATGATATTTCAAGGGAAAGAGTAAATAAATAATAGTCTGTAGTTACATTATTTTACTGAGACCTAACATTCTACTAAAACCCTTTCACGGTACTGCTCCCTGTCTGGGTCCTTTGTCCTCAGTTTCTCTCATCCTTACTTCCTCTGTGCTGCCCTTTTCCTCTTTTTTTTTTTTTAATGTTTATTTATTTACTTATTTATTTAAATTTTTAATGTTTCTTCATTTTGAGAGAGAGCACATGTGTGCAAGAGAGAGAGAGAGAGAGAGCGAGACTGATTGAGAATCCCAAGCAGTCTCCATGCAGTCAGCTCAGAGCCTGATACAGGACTCGAACTCATGAACCACAAGATCATGACCTGAGTTGAAATCAAGATTGGATGTTTAACTGACCGAGCCACGTAGGTGCCCCTGTCCTGCCCTATTCCTCTTTATTCCTTATCTGTTTATTATGGCCTTCTCATTTCTCCTGTTTTTTTCTCCTTTGTCAACTCCGTTTTTCTCTTACAAAATCACACTCGCACACACACGCACACACACACACACAAGCCACACATATATGCACGCACAGTTTTATGTATATGATGTTTTCTTACCGGGATGAGGATGTAGGCTCAGTAATTTGTCTTTGCACACGTGCATGTTTAATTAAATGTTCTTTTAAAGCGTTTTGGACTTCCGCTGGGATATCAGGGGAAGTGTGGCTGATTTTTATAGCAGGCTCTACAGTTTTTAGAGCTGGCTTTTCATTTTCTTTAACTTCTTTTTTCTCTTCGGTCTCAAAGACTTCAGTAGGAGCACTTGAAATGCTCTGTGGAAGGGTACTGATGTTGGAAGTCACAGGTTTGCTTTTCCAGCAAGGCCAGCACAACTTCCAGAAGACAAAAAGTGAGACAACCAACAAAGCCAGGCCACAGAAGCTGACAACCACCGCTAACAAGCTGACTGAAATATCTGGAAAAAAATTACAATGTGAAGAAATATTAATCCATCGATAGTGTCCATAAAAGAGTGGAAATGGTGAGATAATTTACATTATGGTTATTATCAATAGCTTTCTTTTTTAGAGTTTCAAAATTTACTTTTAAGTTATCTTTGAAGGGAGGGAAGATTAATAATTACTCCTAGAAATTCTCAGAGGAGCTATATGAAAAATTCCAATTGTATTTAGAAAAGGCATGATATATGCATATTACTTCCAAGAACACTACAAGGGGTCCAAGAGTTTGCAGAATGAAAGGTGGTAACTTGTAAACTGCTGTGAATTTACGAAACTTAAGAAACTTGGAAAATGCACACAATAAGGAAAGCTTCTGTTTGTTTCATCTTTTATCAAAAGATGTAAATTTCTCAGTTTCTAAGCAGGGAATCATGTCAAATATTTGTATAAGACACTTTCTGTAGTCTAAATAAGGATAACATGTTACTAACAGAGAAGAGGTACACTAGCAGCTATATTTTTAACCTCCCTAGGTCCTTTCTGATAACTTTATATGTTCCTACTTTCTCATGTCCCAAATTAATGATGTGTTATCTAAGTATCTCTAAAATATCCTTATTTCAAAACAACCACAAATTAATATATGCTCATTATGTAAAATGATCCAAAGAAATATAGTAAAAAAAAAAGTTAGTAGGATTGAGTAAATAAATGAATGAATGAATGAATGAATGAGAGAAAAGAAACAAATCTGTGCAGAAGAATTCCAAGCAATATACATAAATACTCTGCTCTAAAGAAGGTGGATCACAGCTCCCTACTCCTCAAGTGTGGGCTGCACATAACAACTTCCTTCTAAAGAAGACAGTATGGAAAGGGGTAAAAAGGGCAACTTTATAGTGGAGAGACCTCACCAGGTGATCAAGGTGACTATTGACAATAATGAATCATGTTAATAGTATGCATCTTTAATATGGCACTCTACCTCTGTGGTCTTCTTTCCCAAACCCATAACCCAAGACTAATCATTAGAAATCTATATGACAAATTCCAATAGGAGGCCATTCTACAAAATATCTGACCAGCACTCTTCAACACTGCCAAGGCTGTCAAATAAAAAGACAGTCTGAAAAACTCTCATAGCCAAGAGGAGATTATGGAGGCATGATAACCAAACATAATGTGGTATCCTAGATGGCGTCCTGGGATAGAAAAAGGATATTTAGGTAAAAACTTAAGAAATGTGAATAAAGTATGGACTTTAAGTAGCAGTGTATCAATAGTGTTTCATTAATTAAACAAACATCCCATATTAATATAAAATATTAATAACAGGAGAAACTGGGTGTGGGATGTATGTGAACTCTGTACTATCTTCCCAATTTTTATGTAAATCTAAAGCTATTCTAAACGGTAAAGTCTGTTTTTAAAAGAGTTGATGATACGTCCTACCCACTTCCATTTTCACCTTCCTAAGATAATCAATGTTGGCAGTCTGGTGTTACAGCACCCTTAGAAATTAAACAGATTTCCTGTAAAGAAAAATTTGTCTAGATGTAAATAATCTTGTAATTTTCTTCTATAACATTGCTTAGACTCAATGTAAATATGAATCCAATTTCTTTTGTTTAAAATAAAAATGTTAGGAATATGTTATAGGCTGAATTGTGTCTGTCCCATAATCCTTTTCATTTTCTTATGTTGAAATCATCACCCCCAGTTCCTCAGAATGTGGCTGTATTTGGAGATAAGGCCTTTAAATTAGTCATAAAGGCAAAATGAAGTCATTATGAATAGGCACTATTCCAGTATGACTGGTGTCCTTATAAGAGGAGATTAGGACAAAGGTACTCACAGAGAAAGACCATGTGAGGACATAGGGAGAAGGTGGCCACCTACAAGCCAATGGGAAGAGGCCTCAGAAAAAAAAAAAAATCAACCCTCCTGATACCTTGATCTCAGACATCTAGTTTTCACAACTGTAAAGGAGTAAGTTTCTGTTGTTTAAGCTACCAGTCTGTGGTACTTCATTATGAAAGGCCTAGAAAACTAATAAAGAATAAATCTAATTTCCTTTAACCACTACTGGAAATTCAGGATTTCCTACCCTTCCCTAGAAGCAACCATTGATCCCAGTTTGGTGTGTATCTATCTAGCCCAAGCACTAATAAAAAGGTATCTCTTAAAGACCCATACGAATATAGAATTGTTTATATACTTAAAAATATATAAGTGGCTTATGCATATTTCTTTCTTCAATTTGCTTTACTTTTTTACTCACTGATCCTTGGGGTGTAACTTCATCTCACACAGCATTCCAAAATACTTCCCCATGATGGATATTATGGGATAGATTATGCCCAGTGTTTTACTATTACCACATAGCTATAATGAGGACCCTTGCCCCCTTCTTCTCATATATATTCTGAATATTTCTCTAAGCTGAATACCTAGAAATAGAATTGCAAGGTCATAGGTTATGCACGTATTTAATTTTATTAGATTCTTCCATAAGAACCCCGGAGTGTCTCTAATAAAAACATCCTAAGAGTTTATCAGTTCCTACAATCTCAGAGAAAGCTGTTATACTTTAATTTTCACTGATATGATGGGGAAATGATACTTTGTTTTAATTTACATTTTCCTGATTAGTAAGATAAAATGGTTCTATTGAAACTCCCAATTTGTAGCTAATGGAAACCTATTCAGAAATTGAAATAATTCCAGATTTTTAATGCTACTTAATTATAAGAATAAAAATTAATTTGACATGCTGTGATACATAGATATTAATATTTTCCTTCATTTTCTAGTTGCTTATTAAAGCAACCATTAAATATATTTCCCATTTATATTCAATTGATGAAGAATGTGTGATCATATATTTTGTAGTTTATTTCCACTTATTAATTTGTTCATTAGCTCCATAACTTGAGGAAAACAAAAAAATATATAAATATACTTACTATTTTTTGTAATGTTTATTTTTGAGAGAGAGAGAGAGAAAGAGAGAGAGAGAGAGAAAGAACTCATGCATGTGGGGAGGGGCAGAGACAGGGAGATACAGAATCCAAAGCAGGCTCTGAGCTGTTAGCACAGAGCTTGATGATGTGGGGCCCAAATCCTTGAACCACAAGATCATGATCTGAGCTAAAGTCGGATGCTTAACCGACTGAGCCACCCAGGTACCCCTTGATTCCTAATTATTTTAAATGGAGGCATTTTACTACAATTATGGATTCATCATCTCTATGTATTTTCACCTCCATTTACATTATATTTTTCTGGATATTTTAACTCAGTTAATTTCTTCAACCCAGCTAGAGCCAAGAGCCAAGATATAAGGAAACCACAGGGCAATGTGAGGAAGAAGAAAGGATGGGGTTGGTTTTCAGTCCATAACTGAAAATGCCTCCCTTCTTACTTACGGGCATTAGAAAACTTCTACTCTACCCACAAAAATGTGATGACATTCTTCTATGCCATTTTTCCTATGTGCTAGGATTTGGCATTCATAAAGTTGTTCTCATTGTAGGAAAAAGTCCTGTGGAAATCTCTGACCCTATTTCTATTTTCCCTACTACTGATAATTTTCTTTCTAAAGTCAGTACCTGGTTCTACCATTTAGAGGACCATAAAATATTTCACCCAAACTAAATTACTTGTGAAAGTGAAAAATTGTGTTATCGGTATTGCCAGGGTAGCAGGAGGAAACCAAGTCATGTCCTGGCTATTGAGATGTATGGTCACCTTACCTCTCAGCCTAACATTCTTCCACGTCACCTCTTAGCCATCTGGGACAAATCCAAACTTTGTAAGGCATTCCCCAGGACCTTTGTGATTTGACCCCTGGGTATTGGTCAGGTTTATTCGTCTATCACTTTCCCACCTGTACTCCTTCCCCTGACCACTCATTATTCTCTCATGATTTTGTTCAGGCTGTTGTGTGCAGTTCCAATGCATTTATCTTCCTCTATTTGGCTCCCTGCAAATCTGTATTCAGCAATCAGATCCAATAGTACCTCTTTCTTGACACTCCCTGCCTCTTCCTTTCCTAAGGGCTTTGAAAGCGTACCTAATCACTGTAACAATGCTATCATAAGAACTGATTGACTTATAATCCTTTACCCAAAGCTCCTGGGACATAATGTGTTTCAAAAATTATTTTCTTTTGAATATTAGAAAGGCAATTAGAAAGTACACATTATCTGGGATAACACTGAGTAACCAAACACATTGATATATCTAAAATGAAATGTATGAATCACACTGAGTGGGATCACTGAAGATTATAAGTAGCTTAATGCCAATTCAGGTAGGGCATCGATATCAAAATGCTACAATTTACAAAATTATTTTGTTTTCAAGGTGTTGAGGTTTTGTAATTGTGGATAAGGGGGGGCGCCTGGGTGGCTCAGTTGGTTAAGCATCCGACTTCGGCTCAGGTCTGATCTCACTGTTTCTGAGTTCGAGCCCCACATCGGGCTCTGTGCTGACAGCTCAGAGCCTGGAGCCTGCTTCCTCTTCTGTGTCTCCCTATCTATCTATCTGGCCCTCTTCCTGCTCACACTCTGAGTGTGTGTCTCTCTCTCTCAAAAATGAATAAACATTAAAATAATTTTTTTTAGGGGCACCTGGGTGGCTTAGTCGGTTAAGTGTCCGACTTTTGCTTGGGTCATGATCTCGCGGTTCGTGGGTTCGAGCCCCACTTCGGGCTCTGTGCTGACTGCCAGCTCGGAGCCTGGAGCCTGTTTCAGTCTGTGACTCCCTTTCTCTCTGACCCTCCCCTGCTCACGCTGTCTCTCTCTCTCTCTTAGAAATTAAAAAAAAAATTTTTTTTAAATTGTGGATAAGGGATTGTGTATTTATGCTTATTTTTTCTTCTCCAAATGTTGCCATCCTACAAATACACTCAGTCTTCGATCCTTCAGAGCAGAAACCAAATTTATTCACCTAGTTTAGTGTCTGGTATTTATCACATGGTCAAAAAATGTTTATGGAGCTACTGAATACA